TTCTGTGCAGCCTTCACCACTCTCTGCAAAGCTTTTCTTTCTGCAGCTGTGCAGCCTCCATGCCACACGTTGATGCTGGAGCACAGGATGCTCTCCACTGCACACCTGTAGTAGGAGGTGAGGACTGAGCTTCCCAGACCAGCTCGCCTCAGCCGTCTGAGGAAGTAGAGTCTCTGATGATCTTTCTTCATCAGGCTGGTGGTGTTGTTGCTCCAGCTGAGGTTGTTGTTCATGTGTACAACAAAGTACTTGTAGCTGGAGACCACTTCCACCGCAGATCCTCTTATGTTCAGGGGGGTGTAGATGTTTTTGTTCCTTCTGAAGTCCACAATCATCTCCTTTTTCTTCTTCACATTGATGTGAAGGTTATTCTCTTTGCACCAGCTCTCCAGGTGTTCCACTTCTTGCCTGTAGCTGGACTCATCATTGTTTGTGATGCATCCCACCACCGCTGTATCATCTGCAAACTTTACAATGTGACAGCCTGGATGGGTAGCTGCACAATCATACGTGAGCAGAGTAAACAGGAGGGGGCTCAACACACATCCCTGAGGAGAGCCAGTGCTGAGGGTTATGGTGGAGGAGGAGAGGTTGTGGATCCTCACTAACTGTGGTCTCTTTGTTAAGAAGTCTAGTACCCAGTTGCAGATGGAGGGGCTTAGTCCTAGTGTGGATAGTTTGTCCATCAGGGTTTGGGGGATCATGGTGTTGAAGGTGGATGTGAAGTCCACAAAGAGCATACGGACGTAAGAGTTTTTCTGCTCCAGGTGGTTGAGCGCAGTGTGGACCACAGAGGAGGTGGCATCCTCTGTTGATCGATTCTCACGGTATGCGTACTGATGAGGGTCCTCGTTGATGTTGATGGCTGTTTTGATGTGAGTCATGACCAGTTTTTCAAAGCATTTAGAAACTATCGGGGTGAGGGCCACTGGCCGATAGTCATTCAGACCAGTCACTGTAGAGCTTTTGGGGACTGGGATGATGGTGGCAGTCTTCAGGCAGGTGGGAACTGTCTCCAGGGTAAGTGAGGTGTTAAAGATGTCTGCCAGCACCTCACAGAGCTGATCAGCACATTCCTTCAACACTTTTCCGGGGATGTTGTCTGGGCCAGTTGCTTTGTGCGGATTAATCCTCCTGAAGGTACTCCTTACTTAGGCTGAGGTCACGCTGAGATGCTCTTCATCCGGTGGTGAGGTGAGTCTGGTGCTGGGTGGTCTGTTCAGGTCTTCAAAGCGTGCATAGAACTTGTTGAGGGCATCAGGCAGAGATGGGTCTTAGGGTCATTGTTCTCTCCTTCCTTTATAATCTGTTATGCACTTAATGCCTCTCCACATGCTCCGAGGGTCTTGTGAGATGAATTGACCCTCGATCCTCTGTGCATATGTGGCCTTGGCCTTCTTAATACCAGCAACAAGCTCTTTTCTTGTCCTACTCAGCTCCTCTGAGTTTCCAGACCTGAAGGCAGTGTTCCTGGCTTCCAGCAGGGTACGCACCTCTGCATTCAGCCAAGGTTTTCTGTTTGGGTAGCTTTTAACATTTCTGATAGAGGAGACGGTTTCAGTACATGTACTAATGTAACCCAGAACTGAGGATGTGTATTGGTCAAGGTCAAGCAAACCTCCATTTTCAGCAGCTTCTCTGAAAACCTGCCAGTCTGTTCGGTCAAAACAATCTCTCAGTATGGGGCCACTGTCCTGGATCCAGCATTTAACTTTCTTTTGTACCGGTCTGGAGCGTCTCAGCGGGAGCATGTAAGCAGGAGCCAGGAAGATTGAGATGTGGTCTGATAGTCCTAGGTGGGGGCGGGGTTCGGCTTTGTATGCATCTTTTACGTTTGTGTAAACACGGTCCAGCGTCGTCTCCACATGTCGGAATTGTCACATGTTGATTAAAGCTTGGGAGACAGTCCTTTAGATTCACGTGGTTAAAGTCTCCGGCTACCACGTAAAGAGCCTCGGTGTGTTTGCTCTGCAGCGAGCTGATGTAATCATGAAGCTCCTGCAGTTCATCCCGGCCGCGTCGCATTCGGCTGCGAACCGCTCCAGCGAAAGCTGTAGATCATGATCTGATGAAGCCAATAAGACCACATCATCTGCAAAAAGCAGAGACGCAATCCTAAGGCCACCAAAACAGATCCCCTCAACACCTTGGCTGCACCTAGAAATTCTGTCCATAAAAGTTATGAACAGAATCGGTGACAAAGGGCAACCTTGGCGGAGTCCAACTCTCACCGGGAACAAGCCCGACTTACTGCCGGCGATGTGGACCAGGCTCTGACACCGGTCATACAGGGACCTAACAGCCCGTATCAAAGGGCCCGGTACCCCATACTCCCAGAGTACCCCCCCACAGGGTTCCCCGAGGGACGCGGTCGAACGCCTTCTCCAAGTCTACAAAGTACATGTAGACCGGTTGGGCAAACTCCCACGCACCCTCCAGTACCCTGCTGAGAGTGTAGAGCTGGTCCAGTGTTCCATGGCCAGGACGAAAACCGCACTGCTCCTCCTGAATCCGAGGTTCGACTATCCGACGGACCCTCCTCTCCAGAACCCCCTAGTAGACCTTACCAGGGAGGCTTAAGAGTGTGATTCCCCTGTAGTTGGAACACACTCTACGGTCCCCCTTTTTGAATAGGGGGACCACCACCCCGGTCTGCCAATCCAGGGGAACTTCCCCCAATGTCCACGCAATATTGCAGAGTTGCGTAAGCCAACACAACCCTACAACATCCAGAGCCTTAAGGAACTCCGGGTGAATCTCATCCACCCCTGGGGCCCTGCCACCGAGGAGCTTTTTAACCACCTCGGTGACCTCAGCACCAGAGATTGGAGGGCCCGACACAGAGTCCCCAGGCTCCGCTTCCTCAGTGGAAGACGTGCCGGTGGGATTGAGGAGGTCTTCAAAGTATTCCGCCCACCGACCCACGACATCCCGAGTTGAGGTCAGCAGCACACCACTCCCACTATAAACAGTGTTGGTGGCGTACCGCTTTCCCCCCCTGAGACGCCGGATGGTGGACCAGAATCGCCTCGAAGCCGTGCGGAAGTCATTCTCCATGGCCTCTCCGAACTCCTCCCATGCCCGAGTTTTTGCCTCAGCGACCACCCGAGCCGCATGTCGCTTGGACTGCCAGTACCCATCAGCTGCTTCTGGGGTCCCACTGGCCAAAAAGACCCGATAGGACTCCTTCTTCAGCCTGACAGCATCCCTCACCGACGGTGTCCACCGTCGGGTTCGAGAGTTGCTGCCGCGACAGGCACCGACAACCTTGCAGCCGCAGCTCCAGGAAGCCGCCTCGACAATAGAGGCACAAAACATGGTCCACTCGGACTCAATGTCCCCCACCTCCCTCGGAACATGTTCGAAGTTCTCTCGGAGGTGGGAGTTAAAACTCCGTCTCACAGGAGACTCTGCCAGACGTTCCCAGCAAACCCTCACAATACGTTTGGGTCTGCCAGGTCTGACCGGCATCCTCCCCCACCATTGGAGCCAACTTACCACCAGGTAGTGATCAGTGGACAGCTCCTCCCCTCTCTTCACCCGAGTGTCCAAGACATGTGGCCGCAGATCAGATGAGACGATGACAAAAGTCGATCATTGAACTGCGGCCTAGGGTGTCCTGGTGCCAAGAGCACATATGGACACCCTTATGCCTGAACAAGGTGTTCGTTATTGACAATCCATGACGAGCACAGAAGTCCACAAACAGAACACCACTCTGGTTCAGATCAGGGGGGCCGTTCCTCCCAACCACACCCCTCCAGGTCTCACTGTCATTGCCCACATGAGCATTGAAGTCCCCCAGCAGAACAAGGGAGTCCCCAGGAGGAGCACTTTCCCTTACCCCCTCCAAGGACTCCAAAAAGGGTGGATAATCCGAACTGCTGTTTGGTGCATCAGCACAAACAACAGTCAGAACCCGTCCCCCCACACATAGGCGGAGGGAGGCCGCCCTCTCATTCACCGGGGTGAACCCCAACACACAGGCACCAAGTTGGAGGGCAATAAGTATGCCCACTCCTGCTCGGCGCCTCTCACCAGGGGCAATTCCAGAGTGGAAGAGTGTCCAGCCCCTCTCAAGGAAAATGGTTCCAGAGCCAGAACCATGCGTAGAGGTGAGTCTGACTATTTCTAGCCGGAACCTCTCAACCTCACACACCAGCTCAGGCTCCTTCCCCACCAGTGAGGTGATATTCCACGTCCCAATAGCCAGCTTCTGTAGCCGAGGATCAGACCGCCAGGGTCCCCGCCCTCGGCCACCACCCATCCCACATTGCACCCGACCCCTTTGGCCCCTCCCACAGGTGGTGAGCCCATGGGAAGGGGGACCCACGTCTCCTCTTCGGGCTGTGCCCGGCCGTTCTCCATGCGTAAAAGCCCGGCCACCAGGCGCTCGCCCGCATGCCCCCCCTCCAGGCCTGGCTCCACAGTGGGACCCCAGTGACCCACATCCGGGCAAGGGAACATTAGGTCCGTTTATTTTTCTCATCGTTTGGGTTTTTGGGCTGCACTTTGTCTGGTCCCTCACCTAGGACCTGTCTGCCATGGGTGACCCGACTAGGGGCGTAAGCCCCTGACAGCATAGCTCCTAGGATCATTGGGACACTCAAGCCCCTCCACCACGGTAAGGTGGCAGCCCAGGGAGGGGTCAAACTTCATACAATAATGTAGAAAACAGAAAAAAGGTGTTTATATTTAGTTTTTACACAGAAAATGTTAGTATCAGCTTTGGCTGCATCTTCATTATACGTCATGGAAGGTTATTTATCTTTGTCTCATTATGTCTCTCCCCCCATGCCAGATGACAGAGAAGCAGGTTCGTGATCGGGCCCGGGAGCTGGAGGAGCTCCAAGAAGCAGTCAGGAGGCACGGCGGGGGGAGGGACGACCAGTCGGAGCTGGAGGCCGAGCAGCAGGTCCTGCAGACGGAGTTCCAGCAGCTCCTCACTCCTCTATCCCAGCGCAGGAGCCGACTGGAAGCAGCCAGAGATGTCCATCAGTTCTGCAGAGACCTGGCCGACGAGCTCGTAAGCACAGAGTCCGTTAAATGTGTCCGAACAACTGACACCGACAGCACGACATCAGAGCGACACGGGTCAGATCGGAGCCTGCTGGAGTCCACGGCTCGCACCACAACACATGGACTTATTTTGGCTAATGGACAGCTGTTTTCTATCTTAATTAAAAACGTATCGTAACAGATGTTTAAAGCTTTTTAGGTGAAATGGTCTTTGTTCTGCTTTGAAAACCTGCAGGTGTAGGTGAAACATTTCCTGTGTGAGGGCTTGAAAACACTGAAGCAGTAACTGCAGACAGATGTGGAGACGTTGGTGTGCAGGGATTCATAGTTTCCAGAGGTTCATAAAGAGGTTCCAGAAGTTTTAAAGAGGTTCCAGAGGTTCATAAAGAGGTTCCAGAGGTTTATAAAGAGTTTCCAGAGGTTCATAAAGAGGTTCCAGAGGTTTATAAAGAGGTTCCAGGGGTTTATAAAGAGGTTGCAGAGGTTCGTAAAGAGGTTCCAGAGTTTCATAAACAGGATCCAAAGGTTCCTTTAGGTTCCAGAGGTTCGTAAACAAATTCCAGAGGTTTATAAAGAGGTTCCAGAGGTTCATAAACACGTTCCAGAGCTTCATAAACAGGTTCCAGAGGTTCATAAACAGGTTCCAGAGGTTCGTAAACAAATTCCAGAGGTTTATAAAGAGGTTCTAGAGGTTCATAAATAGGTTCCAGAGGTTCATAAACACGTTCCAGAGGTTCATAAACAGGTTCCAGAGGTTCATAAAGGTTCCAGAGGTTCATAAACAGGTTCCACAGGTTCATAAACAGGTTCATAAAGAGCTTCCAGAGTCTGCCTTCAGTCTCATCGTAGTCCTGATGTTTTCCTCTCGTTTGTATCTCAGCTCTGGATCGAGGAGAGGATGCCTCTGGCCATGTCACAGGAGCACGGCAACAACCTGCAAACTGTTCAGATGTTGCTGAACAGGAACCAGGTGGGACTAATAAAATAATTTGATTAATCAATACATTTATTAATCCTTGAAGATCATTTTTCTGATGCACAGTTTACCCACTCTGCCATGTTTGTGGTTTAAAATGACAAATGTGCACGGAAACACACGTGTTACAGTTCAGCTCTAACTTCCTGTCCTGCTGTTGCACGACTGAAAGAGAACATGCATCAACAATGATGGAGCACAACTTTTACTAGTGGGACATCCATCATCTTCCATCCATCTTGCATCCATCAGCCATCATCATCATCCACTCATCCGTCAATCAACCATCTATCATCCATCCATCATCATATATACATCCATCAACCATCATCCATCCATCATCAAACATACATCCATCATCTTTTACTTGCTGCTTCCTTTTCAGATCGCGGGATCACTGGTGTCCATGTCTATCAGTCACTGTGTGAGAGGCGGGGGACACCTGGACAGGTCTCCAGTCCATCACAGGGACACCTAGGGACAATTTACAGTTACCAATCAGTCTAACATGCATGTGTTTGGTCTGTGGGAGGAAACTGGAGTACCTGGAGAAAACCCATGCATGCATGGAGAGAACATGCAAACTCCACCCAGAAAGGCCCCTGTCCGGGATTTAATCCAGCAACCTTCTCGCTGAGAGGCAGCACCTTTACCAACTGGACCACTGTGCTGCCCTATGTTGCAATTATAGAAAAAATTAGCAACATGAAGTGCTAGTAATGGAGCTCTGTTTTGGTAGTTTTATGATTTTAAATATTTTTCCATGGATGAGGTTTGCATGTTCTTCTCGTGCATGTTTGGTTCAATGGTAAATCTGAGTGGTGGCTGGGTGAGAGTGAGAATGTGAACTGTGTTTGTCTTTGTGTTCCTGTGATGCGACCTGTTCAGGTGCCCCCCCCCCCCCCCACACACACACACACACACACACAGTGACTGCTGGAGTGACCCAGACACGTGAGGTGGTTAAAGAAAGTGGTGGACTCCTTGTCGTGGTTGAAGAATTTTTAAGCTCTGGTTTTCAGTTTTTATTTGAGGCTCACCTTTTAGTCCGTTTCTGTCTGCATGTCAGTACTTGGTCAGTCAGGGAGTGAGAAACACAGACATGTTGTTACCATGACGATCTTAATGAACCACTTGTAGCAGCGTGAACATTTCTTTTGACACTGTATACAGCTCGTGCATCAGATGTTTTAGTTCTTATCTGAGATGAGTAGTTTTCTCTGAACTTGGCTCTTTGACTGTCAAAGTTGTTCAGAGAAGTTCTCGTCTGAAGATCTGTTGCTGCTTCTCAGACGCTGCAGAGAGAGATTGAGGGCCACCAGCCTCGAGTTGACGAAGTCCTTGAGCGCGGCGGGAGGATGGCCTCCGGCGCAGAGGACAGGTTGGAGGAAGAGCGGATCACGGAGCAGCTGGAGGAGCTGCAGGAGGCCTGGGCCCGGCTGCAGGATGAACTGGACCAGCGCAGAGACAGGCTGAATGGCTCCAGCTTGGCCCAGCAGTATTACAACGACGCCGACGAAGCTGAAGCCTGGATCTGGGAGCAGGAGCTCTACATGATCGCTGACGAGAAGGCCAAGGTGAGGAGCTGTGTGAGATGAACGCACCTCCACAGATGTTTAACCATGAGATCATCTTCCTCGTGTTTCCCTCCAGGATGAACAAAGCGCGATGCTGATGCTGAAGCGCCACATGATCCTGAAGCAAGGCGTGGACGATTACGCCGACTCCATTCAGACGCTGGCTGAGCGAGCCCAGAAGATGTTTGCAGAGGACCATCCTGACGGGTTTGTGCTGCCTCCAAGTTTCTCATGTCGTCCCAGTCACGTGTGGTTTGAGGTGATGAGAATGACGAGCATTAACAAAGTCTCCTGAAACTTTCTTCTTCTTCTGCATGAACTGTGCAGTGAGGAGATCATGGGGCGTCAGGGCCAGGTAGATAGACAGTATGCAGGTCTGAGGGAACTGGCAGAGGACCGCAGGAAGAAGATGAACCACGCCTACCATCACTTCCTGCTGAGCAGAGAGGTGGAGGACCTGGAGCACTGGATCGCAGAGAAAGACGTGGTGGCCTCCTCTCAGGAGATGGGTCAGGACCTGGACCATGTCACGGTAAGAGAATAAAAATGGTTCCAACAAAAGGAAACTAGGCTGTTCCTTGTCCTGGTGCGTGCTGTTCAAAGAAAAGTTGCTCTTTTATTGGCTGCTTCGAACGTTTCCAATAAACCTAAAGGTTGTTCAATAGTCCAGTTTCTAAAATAAAGATGTGAACCTCCAGCTGGACCACAAATCCTTTTCCAGGTTTATTCTGTTAGCATAATTTCTCAGACCTATCAGCTCTCCAGTTTTTCACGCAGCTTTAGGTAAGAGCAGCATTTTCACTCATGTGAAGGATTTAACCCTGAAATGTGTCTGAGCCTGATTTTATTTAGTAAATGACGATAATTAGTTTATACTTTCTAAATGAGCTGGTTCTTGAGACGTCAAAGCTTTTACAGACTCGTTACGCTCTCTGTGTCGTTCAGCTCCTGAGGGACAAGTTCAGAGACTTTGCACGGGAGACGGGGATGGTGGGTCAAGAGCGAGTGGATTTCGTCAACCAGACGATCGACGAGCTCATCGAAGGTGGACACAGCGAGTCGGCCACCCTGGCAGAATGGAAGGACGGCGTCAACGAGAGCTGGGCTGACCTCCTGGAGCTCATCGACACCCGCGCTCAGCTCCTAACGGCGTCTTACGACCTGCTCAAGTAAGAAACGCCTCAGAGTGACCCAGTAAGAACTGCTGGAGCTGCGACACGACGTGAACACGATAAGTGTTCGTGAGCTGGAGGCTGACACCAAGGGCCTCAGCCACTAAGACCTCCAGCAGACTGCTGCTGACGGGCGCGCCTCTTCCACTCAGACTGCGTGCACACCTGGCAACAGGTGTAGCAGTGGTGGAGACCAGCTGATTTAAGAGAGGGCTTGGAGTCTCCTGGTTTCACCGTGGAAGATTTGGGCGAGCACGACAAGTGCAACATGAACTTTGATAGAACTGGAGGTGTTAGTGGAAGAGACAAATGTATCGGTGAGTTCCAGCAAATAAATCTGAGTAGAAGCAAAAGAAAGGCCATATGCAGACGATGTGTGAGAAGGTCAGCTCTGTGGGAAACAAGAAGAGCAGCAGGCCATGTGAAGAAAAGATGACCACATTCACAGGATAAAACGTGGACGTCGTCGTCGTGCGCTGACGGGACCCAGATGTTGAGATGAAAGGACTTTTGTCCTGGGTGAAGTGGCACCATCATCCAGAAGCTCCACAAGTGCTTTATGTGTCGATAACGTTTGTTCCTGGCATCTCCAAAATGTTGAGCAGAACAGGTCCGTTCTCTCCGCGGCCTCTCGTTTTGCCGACGCCTTCTCCTCGCCACGATCACCGCAGCCGTTGTTACGCACATCTGTACCGCTTCACGCCTGCCTTCCAGATGCGCTATTAAAACACAAAGTGAGGCGCTCATGGTTTCATGGCTGATGAGTCGCACTGCGCGTGCTGAATGAATCTGTTTGGATCTTCTCGTCCCGGGTCTTCTGCACGTTCGTGTAGAAACACCTGATGCTGCAGATTCACTGAGGCTGACACGTGAAATATCCAGCTGTTCTGCCTGTTTGACAGACGAGTGACCTGTTCCTAGATCAGCTTCCACTTCAGTAAATCAGCCCCTAAGATTTTTGTTCTGTTTTTCAGGTACTTTGATGATGGAAAGGAGCTGGTGGCTCAGATCCATGAGAAGCAGAAGGAGCTGCCTGAAGACGTGGGAGAAGATTTCAGTAAAGCTGAGTCCTTCCACAGAATGCACGCCGCCTTCGAGAGAGACATCACTGCTTTGGGCAAACAGGTACTGCGCCAGGGTGAGCGCGCAGCAGAGAGGTCAGCCCTGATCATTTAGATGGGGGGGGGGGGGGGGGGGGGCTGCAACGGTTTGCTGACGTGAACAGTTTAGAATGACTGGGAAGAGATTTGGATCCACAACACTCGGCCAGTCTTTACTGGAGTTACTCTGGAACGAAACTAAACAGTTTGACCCCCTGCACCATGTTCGGTTCACACACACCCACACAAACAACTCAGTAACTTTCTTATAACTAAAAGTAGACACCCCCGGACCGTGCATTCAATTTACAGTGATGTGTGGTGCATTGTAATAAATTCTTAGTTTAAATAAAACTAGATAAAATCAACATATTGTGTATGTATTGGAAGGTAGAATAGACTAGAATAGAATAGAATAGAATAGAAATTCCAGTGTATCAGCAGCAACAGATAAAAAGATTCACACAGAAGTTCCTAAATGTTAAAAACAATACAATATATAAAGAAACAAGATAAACAATATCAATAATAATGTTCAATATGTGTTGGAGCATTGATAAGGACAGAGTACTGACAGCACAGTGTTACAGGCAGAGTGAGTGTTTGAGCAGAGGTCAGCATGTATTTAATCCTTGTAGAGTTTGTTGGAGCAGTGATGGTTGTAGAGTCTAACAGCTGCTGGAGGAAGGACCTGCTGGAGGAAGGACCTACTGGAGGAAGGACCTGCTGGAGGAAGGACCTGCTGGAGGAAGGACCTGCTGGAGGAAGGACCTGCTGGAGGAAGGACCTGCTGGAGGAAGGACCT